TTACTTTCTGTCGAGGTACATCAGGAAATATGTTTAAGGTAAAAGAAATATTAAACTTTATTTTTCTCAATATATCCTTTATTTTATAATTAAAGCTGTTGAATACATTGTATCAATATATAATAATATTTCTTTTCTTTATTTCCAGCACATGTTCCAGCACCGATGAAGAAATTATAACAAAGAAGTTGGGAGTATTATAAAATTAAATAAATTTGTCTTGCATCAATCATAAACTTGAAAAACAATATAACCCTAACATACTTTAAGTAAATAAATTGATACAGAGAAATAAGATACTTAAATTGTAATTTCCTGTTCCAAGTTCCTTGATATACACTTAATGTTATGGCGTTATGGTTCCCGTCATCTTTTTCTATCTGTAAACAAACACTTTTATCGAGTAAAATATCATAAGTAAAAAGAAGTTGTTGCAACAACTGCGTGGTTATTTCACTATTCACTTTCATCTATTTCGTATCACTTGTACCGTGTTTACAATTAGAATCATCTCATCTCAGTACAACAGTCCCATTAGAGTATTCCATTTTTAAGACGAATAAGACAAAAAAGGGCAGAAAAATCAATAATTGACTCTACTGATCTACTTAACGTCTCTTCTTACATGTAAGCGCAAGTACTTTTCAATTTCTTAACGAAAAAAGGAGCTTATCATGTCAGATAAATTATTACATTAACTTACATTATATGAAAACACAGTAACTAGAGTCTACTATTATTTCATGCATGCCTAGCACTGCTCAATCGGTTAATTCTAAAGGGTATTTTATAGTATTGTTATCATCGATAACGGTATAACATACCATCATACCTGGAGGATCACAACACAATATCCACCTGTCATGTTTACCTTCCATAGAAAATTTGTACCTCTATATCCACTGATGCTCTCAGTTTCTTCTTCTCGTTCTCCATTGATCAAGAAATGCAGCAGAATAAGTGTCGCTTGCTACAAAATAGTATATTATTTATATTAATATATTGGATACTGCTTACATTGAAGAATACTCAAAACTGTGTGCAGGAATCAAAGACGCTTAATCCCTGGCGGCAGTTGTAGAAGAGATATACAGCAGGTAGAATATTGTGTTACTCCAGCTGTCAAATTCGGGGCACCATAACCTCCACTACAAATGTTTCCAATTGCGGCTCCTGAAATGGAAATAGGTTAAAGATGATGCGATTAGTTAAATGAAGGATATTAAAAATCATAATATAAAGCCAAGGTTCGACACACATACACCGATTGTTTAAAAACAATAACAGAGAAACTCACCTTAATGTGAGTTTAGTAATTTAGAATATCGGCAGTAGGCAGTTATACAGTCGATAATCCTTCTTTGCAGATGGCAAATATACCCGCGATTAGTATTGTTTATTTCTTACAGGAACATATATCGGTATTACTGGCACCTAATGATGACGATGACGTCGGTAACTCCATTTATGATTTTCCACCTAAATCGGCAGTAGAAAGAATTAATCAACAATAGGTAAAGTAGGACAACAAGGGCAGCGATATATCGACGTATGATATGCAGCGACAAATTTGTCGTATATACATATCATTTCATTTTTATTTTGTTTTATTAAATTAATAACATATTGCCTACCTTTCCAACTTATCTATTTTTTATATCACGTACTTAATATACAGATTTACGATAAACAATAACATACAATTAATCTATACTAATATAATAAAGGAGAGAAGTTTGCTTAAACGAGTTAATTTTCAGTCGGATATGAAAAAATATTTTTCTGTAGATAATCCGTTTATCGAGGAATACTGTAGGCTATATAACATGTCGCAATACTCATTGAAAATATAAATTCTTCCACTAGAAGTATTTATAGCTTAATAAATGGTTTTTCATTGCCTCATATTCTATAGAATTATATTAGGTTGAAGGAATTGTTCTTATAATACAAGTCTTTGGGTATCATGATCTTATTGCAATTCAAAGTTACTTTCAAATATTATATTTATATTACACTATACTATTTTTCACATATTGCACATTGTTATAATTTTAAATTATATTGTTTACAATTACACATATTGTACATTTAAATATTCCCATAACAGAGTGTATTTTTCACTATATACTATATCACGTATTTACCTAATACCTTGGTCACTCAAACCATTGTTTATCGAGTTCTTTCTTGGAAGCGCTACAGTCGTGCCTGCTAGAATACTCATAACAGCTACAAGTGACTCTAAAGCTGAAATTATACAAAGAAAGGGGTTTGTTAGAGTAAATTAGTCGTTAAATAAGGAAAGAAAGCACAATTTTAGGTTAAACAAGGATCTGACAGGTCATCATAATTTTCAAGAACAGACAATCAATTACCTTAATTCATATTTTTCAGTAATGGATGGTAATTCAGTAATGGATGGCAAAACATTGCAGCAAAGGTTCATATTAAAATGATCGTTGATTCTCCCAAGATCAAAGCATCCATTGACAGCTGCGTACACAGGAGCAGACTGGCATCGGAGATTGTTCACAGAAGTAGTCCCTATTTGGCAATTCCAGCAGTGTACAAAGCCTTGGCTATCTTGATTACGGTGCTGTTCTTCATCTCTCTGTTGATTATTGGTGCATTGGATCAATGTATCGCTTTTTATGGTGACGTATTATGTATTTATACTTCTTATGCGTATTAACATATTACTTACCTTACATGAAAGATCTCAGTAGCAGGTTGCTACAATGCTAAAATCACAAAAATTTAAAACCAACAGCGAATGGGAATAGTTTGTAAAACATTAGTAATATATAATATAAAATAATATATCAGTATTCACAGAAGTTGGACATGCACTGGTTAAACACGGCTTAAGGCAGTTGTTTCACGTAACAGGAGTCACTCTTTATTTATAAATAACCAGCAATGCAAAATTCGTCAACATGTTACGATATAATATACAACGCGATTTCACTTAATACTCTGGAAACACATCGGAATAATGAAAATACTTTTCACTCTCTCTTTATTGATAGGTTTATCTATTCATTTATACGGAACAGGATCCGTGAAAAAGATCCGATGCACTATAACCTACAATGCGAAATACAAAATATAGTTAAATACGGATCACGTCATAAATTGAGACACGCCGACTAACTACGCGCACCTTAACTCACTTTTAATTAATTCGCACAGAAGTAACACGAAATTCGCAGAACTAAACAATTAAAAAGTATCGCTAACGACACATAATGCCATCTTACAATTTTTACGATGTTTACCGGACGCGTAACCGCATGGCGGCACAGCGTCGTCGTGCGTAAGGGTGCGTCCACACGTGAAGGATGATTTTCGCTTAAAGGCTTATACCGGTATCATATGTTTACGAATAAACTGTTAAATGAATGGTTCTTTTTACAATAAAAATAAACACTCTAATGAACTCCTAAATACTTTATGATCAAGAATAATAGCACTTTATTTAATTATAACTCATTATTATTATTATAAACTTCGATGACGCGCACCACAGCAAAACGTCTCTTCATCGTAACCGTACGACACGCACATGCACACAACTCATTCACTCACTCCCGCGTAGCACACAAAATTACATATACAGGGTATATATAAAAGGTCGGAACCCTTGAATATTTCAAAAAATATAAGTTTTATCAAAGAATGGTTCAGACAAAAGTTGTAGGGTTTAAAAGGTCCTATTTACTGGCAATATCATTTTGACCTTGAAGGGTCACTGGAAGGTCACGTGAAAATCAATTCAATTTTTTAAAATGGAACACCCTATATATTTTTGCATATTCTTGTAGCTTACCTCGAGAGTTTTCTAAAACACTATGATAAAGTACTTTTTGATTAAAAACTTTTTGAGTTATTAAGGTTTGAAAGTTCCAATAATTTTGACAAATTACAAAATATCTTACAAAATATTCATTTTTCAATAATCTTACCCTAATACTTTTATGCACAGAATAATGAGGTAAGTTGACTGGCGTAAAGAAAATATACAATTGTTAAAAAAAAAATAAGTAAATAAATTTTCAAACAATTTTTTTTAAACCAAACAATTTTTTTTTATCCTGTATATCAATATAAACAATTAAACAAACAATATTAAGCGAGTAATTAATTAGTTGACTATATGTTCGTTTATTATCGGTACAGCTAATTATGCGTGGACAAGAAGGATGGGATGAAATATCCATAGAAGAAACTAAAAAGTTAGTAAATTCGATGTATAATTGTTTGCGAAATGTGACAAAAAATAAAAATGAACTGTGCGACAAAATTCTAATTTAATTTTTCGTACCGTGTAATATACATATATGTTAAATAAATTAACTAAATATTAATGAGATTCTGGCGTAAACACCAAATGGTTAATTTTGGTTCTCTTAGAAGAAGGCGACGGATGTCTTAAATTGTCTCGTTTTTATCAATGACCGAACCATTTACAACTTTCTCTATGTCCACGACAACGAACTGCTATTTCTTTATTTTCATATATTTTTCGTACTCTTTGAAATTGCGCGTGTTGGTACGCAAACTTTTTTTACTTGCTGTACATATATTTTCCAAAACAATTTGCGGGTTCATGTTACTATTATGAATTTCTTTTCTAGAAAAAGGTTTCTGGCAATCCTCATCCACAAAAAATGCAATCGTCGTTTAAATTAATTATCTTATGTAATATCATACAAACATAAATAAGTTGTAATTAATAAACATTATATAGTTACTCTTTATATCTGTAGTTATTTCGTGCATGTTTTGGGTAGATACATTATTTTCAGCCAATATTATGCCACTACAATCTGAAACACAATATAGATAAAAATGATGACATTAAATAGAAAAGACGTAAATGATGAATTTAAAAGAAAATAAGCATAGTACATGTACCATCTGTATTAAAAGGGGATGTAGTTTGTGTTTCTTGGTTTTTGTAGGACTTGTTAACAGATGCAGTGAATTCCTCTTCTGAAAAAAACAGAAGGTAAACAAAAAAAAGAATAATGAAGAATATACATATTATTTTTTTCGCAAAGGAAATACCTGCAAAGAATGTTATTTCTGGAAGAAGTTCATTATGTTCGTCACTGGACACAGTACATATATTTTCTAAAAAGTAAAAGTACACAAAAATAAGAATAACGAAGAAAATATATTTGCAGTCTGATGCAGGAAGTGTAAGTGTTATATTTCTGCAATAATGAATTAAAACTGGTATTGAATTTGTGAAGAATTATATATCCTATATAAAAAGTGACAATTTCAAAGTCTATCTAGAAATGATTGTAACAGTATTTGTATATGCAAATCTCAAAATTTGTCATAAACTAAATTTGTTTAATAAACCTACTTTTTTGCAAGAAAAAAGAAACAAACAAACAAATAGCATAACTTTTAGTTCTCTCCTTATGCATTAAAAAAATTTAGAAAAGCAGAAACTTCTGTATCAGAACTTATACTTCTTTCACCAGAACAAGGATATATTGTTTGCGTTGAAAAGAAAATACCTGCAAAGAATGTTTTTGAAACAGGTTCATTGCATTCACCATTTTGATTAGAGTCTGTAAAGTAACATGTAAACTGTAGTAAATTTTTTTCAGAATAAAGTACAGTGTTACATACCATTTCATAGCAGTTACTTAACACGAGAGCTATCAACGTTTTATGTAGATTTACTTCGAAGTTGAAAATAAAGTAAAAAAGTAGGTAAATAAAGAATGAAACATATACCAGCATATGTAGTACATATTCGTTCCTGTTCCGATAAAAGTGAACACATATTTTGATATAAACATTTTAATAAATTTTGTGATATAATTAAGGAACTGTTAAACCAGTCATTTTGATCGTTTAAATAGTTCTGGTGTTAACGAACGAATGCATGAATATAATATATATGAATTCAACGCATACCTGTTAACATTAAATTACTTTCATATTGTTCTTGTTTATGGTCTTTGCTAAATAAACGTAAAAATTGATCTAATGGCAGTATTCCAGACATTAAATTATCTTGTGCCGTTCTTATTTTGTTATTCTTTGCCATATTTGTGCGTCTTCGTATACTCCTTATTTTTTCATTATTCAATAATCTTTTATAATTTGTTTCTTGATCCGCAATTAGTTTTGTTAAATTATCTGTAATCAAAAATAAAGACACCACATAAGGTTCATGCAGCTAAAATGATTAGAAATAGACATCGACATATATTTATTTTGCAATATAGAATCTAACGAGTTTCCAGATCTATCATTACAATAGAATCATTGCTGTATCTTTTAAGTATTTAGGAAAATTGTTCAGGTAAGAGACTTCTTGCATAATAAACCAAAAAGGTGTTTCAATTATTAAATCGGTTAAATGCATTAGAAGCTGATTTATCTAATGTTTATTCCATACATTGATTTCTGCTACATTTTTGTTTAGATACGATGTTATATAATAAGATTATTACATTTAAATTAGTTGGTAGTAGAAAAATTGACAAGGATATACGTAGACCGATGATCCAACTTTGTGCGTTGCTTTGTATCGTATCGTTGCTTGTGTATCGCACACAATACACGTGGTGCATGCATGCCGCTGTGAAACGTTATAACTTCATTTTCATCGTCACGTTCTTTAACGTACCAATCGGTATAGAAATTTCGGCAAGTAAATATTACGTATTCGTAAGAAAATCAGTAGTTTCACAATCAGTTGCTTACTCGCGCCAATGCTACAATTACGATGATCAACATTTACTTGGGTGGCGTTGCTTATAAATCTATACCATACGACCATATTAAGAGGAACCGCCGGCAGAAAACGACAAACACCTAGTACGTACATAGGTATTTGGAGCACACGGAAATATTTGTTTAAAACTTTGAGTAGAATATTACCAATCTAACCAACACACAAAAGATTAGTAGTTATCGTCAAAATGAAATTACGATTGTAAATTTACAAATTAAAACATGCAAAAGTGACAGATGTATGTTCATGAAATAAAGTGAAAAATGTACGTTTTCATGGAATATTACGAATCTAACCAACACACAAAAGATTAGTTATCGTTAAAATTAAATTACGATTGTAAATTTACAAATTAAAACATGCAAAAGTGACAGATGTATGTTCATCAAATAAAGTGAAAAATGTACGTTTTCATTATCCATAACGTACTTCCATGTGACATTATGATAGAAAAGACTCGAGAAACCCAGCTTTTTCATCGCAGTATAATATTTCAGAAACGAAGAAATTTTATTTTTCCAATAAAACTTGCTTTTCCACATATTTTATATATAATTTTCTTACGTTCAATCTTGCATTGTGTATTCATTCTATTAGATATAATAAACATTAATTAACAAGATAAATGATAATAATATGTATACTTATGAATAACCAGAAATTTGGATGAACAATCTTTAATTTCCTGATTACAGCACTGTGAAAAGATTCTACCAAGTTGTTAGTCCTCACTGCAGAGCCATATACACTGACTTTTGTAGCAATAGGTAGCCACACTTTCTGTAGATACTCCATAAATTGAAGCACATTTGGGAAGGTGGCAGCGGATCGATCAGCAACTAACTGTATTTCATTCAATGCTTGTGGAAACATATCGGGTGGAGCGAGGGGCATAGTCATCGCCATTGAGAGAATCTCGTCTTGCGCTCCTTCTAATCCTAACTTTTTCCACTTTCTTAATAGAGCCTAAACAGTAAGAAAATTCAACTTTTCGCTGAGCACTTTAACGAGGTATGTTATGGAAAAAAACACTTGGGCAACGTTAACTATTATACTGTACCTGATTAAAGTGGAACCAGCAGCCATGTATGGTGACTGCAGGGAATTGTACTCGTATCCCCTCCATAGCAGCTTTCTCGTAATCACACATTACACTTTTTAAATTGTCTTGTAGTCGTGGAGCAAGAGATACTATTTTTCTCCATATGGCTTTATACATTGACAAGGTTCGGCACTCACATAAAGCAAAAACTGTAGCGATCCCCTGTAAATTGATATTAGTTTTTGGTGTGATAGTATGAGATAACTTTAACAAAAACTATCAATAGTGGTATACCGTGTCAGTGTACCGTATATGTACAGTATACAGCTGATGAAAAACAGGCATTTGTGGCACAACCTGTCAAGAGATTAGAAGTGATAAAAATTAAACAACTTTCTTTACCTTAAAAATATTAACATTATAAGTTGTTTGCCTTAAATACTTACGGAAAAGGTACCATCCATGTAAATTTCGTGTGTAAATTTCTTTGGCACTTTCTAATGCACTTAATAGTACGGTGTTTGAG